CAAAAAATGCAAACGTATGTAAAGGGTGGCAAAAGCTGTGATGTCGTACAACAAAAAGGACAATTGAAGGGTACTAGAAGGCATACTAAGTTTTATCATGTGGACTTTTAAACACAAGTGGCTCTGTAGAACCACCACAGATTCCTCTGTTGTTTACATCATGTTCAACCAATATGTGCATGTAGTATGAAAGTAATTAAGCATATCCCTCAAAATGTCAAAACTTTTCCTTCAAAGCTGCATTAACTGATTTTTATTTACACTTGGAGGAGAAAAACATCTACTATATTATTACCTTATAAAGTTGTTATGGCTAATGCATTAGCAATCAATTTGTCCAATTAAACATCCATCAATTGCAATAATCACTCTCCTTTTAGCACTGCTTTGGTCCTTTGTCTGCTGTTTAGAGCTGGGCAGGTTCTATACCGTGGGTTTTGCTGCTGCTTGAAAACAGGGTTGAGAGGAATTCTGACACTGACATATACAGTAAATGTGGCATAAAACCTAAACAATGAGCTTTAAAAGGCTACAAATCTCAGTGATACATCTCTGTAGGTTTTTCACTACAAGTGACTACATTACCTTACAGTCACTTGATTCACTGGTATTAAAAAATATTGATTAGTGGAGCACTATGAAACTGAAATGAAACAAAATCTACTGTTTAAGTCTGTACCATTCAGAAACGGTTTCCATGTCAAGATGTTTCACTTAATGTTGTGCAATTTAGCAGCACCAAAATAAAAAGGTCTGATGAGTCATTCTTTACAATTTTCAAGACTTGGGGTGGATTTATGGTTGCAGAAGGCTGAAGTATGACTGGCCACAAAGCACGTTGCCAGCTGTTAGATATAGTGCTGTGTATGGGCAGCCATATTGCTTAAAAGCTAAAAGGTGGCCTTGATCAGAGTCACATGGGGTCTGTTTCACACTCAGAGCTACTGTAGGGCTACAGTATATACCTATGGGGAACCAGGGTGGCATTGGCTTTGTAGAAACAAACTGTAAGTTAGTCATTTCTTATCTACTTCAACACATTGTGCCTGCAATGCACAGAGTCTGAGTGAATGAGAAACTGAAGATGCGCACTTAACAAAGCTGACTAACCCAAACCGTAATGTACATGGGGTAAAAATTGTACTCAAAAATTGAATAACAATCTACCTCTAATGCATGCCGGACTCTGTAGAGACCATTCATGGATACAAAATTAACAATCCAAGCTCTTACTCAGCAGGTTTCTGACTGAATTAGACTATACCTCGGACAGTCGTTATACATTTTTGCCTCCACTTGCTGCCTTCATTTTTTCTCCACTAAACACTTAAAATAATTACATAATGTGCATTTACATTCATTATAAAGTAGGAATAGCATTACTATAAAACTACTACTATAACCTTTATTTTTCAAGGATTTTTCAGTTTCTGCATCTGCACATGTGGACTAGTGGTGAAAGTAAATAATAGGTTACTAGCAGATGCTGCCTATGCCATTGTGAGGGGTGAAAAACTACCAGCAAACACTGGAAACAATCTCTGTGTGAGCCCACACAAGAAGTGTATTTCAAAAAGCAACAATTTATCACATTTGTTCAAAATACTGGCATATTAATGCTTCTACCTTCTGTCTCTGTGGTACATCACTCTAGGCAACACAGCTGGTGTGTTTTACATGATTCTAAGGTGGGAAAACTTCCCATAATAAGTGTCTCAGTTTTGATTATAAGCAACATGTTGCTTTGGTTGTGTTGTTGTTCTACTGTGGATGCTAGAAGCTCGCAGATTGATTTCCTAATTATAACTCCTTCACCAACTGTATCTACCTATGCTCTCTCCTTTCTTACAGTATGTTCTTTCATTCTTTAACATTTCTTAGCTCTCTTTCTTTCTCATGCTCTGTCAACAAGTTGCAAAAAGCAGTTTCACAGTAACAATGATGATTTTGAAGAAAATTTTAGGAGCGCTAATAACCTCAGCCGACCGGTCTCTGCCTCCCTCCTGTTCAGCGGAGCGGTGAAAGACTCATTGCAGAGATGCTGGTTAGATGCTAAATGTTGATTAGATGAGAAAAAGGCTGATCTTTTGAAGCTTGGCTCTAATGTGCCAAACTGCTGCTGTAAAGATCTGTTGGAAAGGATAAAACCTCCACACTCTCAGCAAACAGCAGACAGCTCTCTGTGGTGGCTGGCAGAGACTGTTGACTTTTGTAGCACTTGTGCTGGAATGTTCTCTTCTGTAGCTCAGTGGGTGGAAACACTGCCAGGGTTACAGAGTCAGAGACAACGTTCTGACATGAACCAATGTTAAAGACCTTTATGGAAGTTAAAATGATGCACAGTCAGCACAGCTTCTGCCTGCATATTTTTGTAATATAGAACCCTGATACAGCATTAATAATATCCTTAAAGCTCATTATTTAGTGTTTTTTTCAAAGAAACATATTAGAAATATCACCTAAGCTCAACAACTAGTGCAACACGGTAGCACAGACTACGAACTGTGTGTTCTCCAAGCACGCCTGCTTTTTCGGTTCATGTAGGACTACAGTGTGTGCAGCAGTACTAAGGGCCAAATGGGTGGCTAAGATGAATATAGATCAGACAGCCAGTCATATTCCTGGTCTCATTGCTCTGAAACAACTGAGCCAATCACAATGAGAAGAGCAGTTAGATGTGTGGTAGAGATAAAATCCAGGTAAAAATCCCTTTTTAGAGAAGATCTGAAAATTGTTCGGTTGAAAATTGGAGCTACGAGCCTTAACTACAGACTATACTGCTACTTGGATGTGATTCACCATTGCTGTATAAATGCTTATGATTTCTTTCGCATGTTTGACTGCCTGTGTCTGTGTTTCTATCTGTCGATATGAGGTAACAGTAGACAGTTGGAAGCTTCTTGCAGGCAGACAGTAAAAAGCCCATGAAGAGACAGGGACAGAGAGTCGGGTTTTGTGGCTGGAAGGTCGGGGGATATTTGGATCTCTGACTCTGTTCCTAATATAACTGTGTGTGGAGCGACAGCTGCTCTGTGTCCTGAAGCAGGTGGGCTGTGTTACATGTCAGAGTCACAGTGGGAGAGAGTGAACTCATGAGTTTCCTGGTTGCACAGGCTACTGGCTGTTGGTGCTAATTTCCTTCCTCGTGTTTTCCTTTGTTTCTAATGAAAGAAAGGCAACTCACATTTTTTTTAAACTTTAAAAAGCTTTAATTACCATAAATCCTGTGGCCCCTGTAAATGAGTAACTTTCACAGTCCACAGACACCCAAAAGATTCCTGAAATGCTCAGCGTAGTCTGATCAGAGTGCTCAGTCTCTGTTGGTTAAAACACAGTATGAAGTTCTGATTTGTAACTTTGATATTCGTGACCATCCTCAGCAAAAAGGGCAGATCTGTTGCATCTCAATAAGTGTAATCAAGCATAGCCAGACTTCTGTCTCGTCACGCTCACGAAGATCTGCAGAAAATCTTGTCAAAAAAACTGGGATAATGAGACCTTTGCAAAACCTGAGGCAGCAATTTTAAGTCTGAAAAGTCTTCTGGAACAGGTACCACTCATTGGTTTTCTGTCTGGATAAAAACAAGTTCTTACTAATGCAATTTTTAAAAGAAACTGAACTCATGTTTTTAAAGCTATTAGAGTAGGAGGTGGGTGGTGCTCTAAAGTGCACAAACCAAAGCAGGCTGATACTAATGACCTCAATAGGTTCGTGAATGGGGAACAAGACAGAAGCAGTGTATGAAGTGTATTTTGGTAAAAATAAAAATGTTTGCATCATACTGATCAAAAGGATGGAGAGTAGATTAAATAGCAGGAGTGCTATGAAAGCTGGTCACAGTTGGAGTCTGTTGTGAATAAAAGCTGACCATAGTCAAGGTTCTTTAAAGCTGCTTTTGAAACCAACAGGAGATAAGTGATTGATACTAAAAAAATTGACCAATTTAACTAATTGCAGTGCTAATCAACATTTAACCAAAGCTATAAACTTGAAACTTGGGATTTCAGTTCAAATGTGTCACAAAATGTAGGACTAACTTAAACTTGACCACTGTGAGACTAAACACTTGACCTGACTTTAGATGTTTTTGCTTTCAAGTCTCAAGTAAAGTCAGTTTTACAGGGAACCAATGTTTGAAAATGATAAAACATAAACAAGACAGCAACAGGCAGATGTTGCAAAGCCACACAATAGGGTGTTTAATGATTTGGCCTATGAAATCAAATGACTTGGTCTCAATTACTAATAGTAATTGCTTTTACCCACTGAGCTACAAGGAGATTGGAGCAAAACAAAATCTCTTCTCCACAACACACACGCCCCTTTCACCACAACGGCGACAGCCAATCCCCCGCACCCACACACCCAGAGCAGAACCAGAGTCAGCGTTGAGGCATGCCCCTCCTCCTCCTCCTCCTCCTCCTCCTCCTCCTCCTCCACAGTCAAACCCTGACAGTAGGCTGCAGTCTGTCCACACTCAACTTCTTGTTACTTATTTATAGCAGCTTGTTCCCCAGAGGGACAAAGTAATTGAAACCAAATGCGTTGCCGGGACTGATAGGGGAAGTAGGGCGGTCAGCCCACCCACCCTTCTTTCTTGCTCTCCTGCGTAGTAGCACAAAGACTAGTAGCAAAAGGTAGAGGTATTAGAGCAAACCAGCCTTGAAATCACTGTTTCTTGCAATTCCATTTTCTGAAAAGAAAAGAAAAGAATGTCCAAAAGCTTTAATTTCTTCCCAACAAATTAATTAATTTAACTGCTTCCGTTTTGGGGTTTCATGGATTTGTGAAGTTTTTTTCTCGGGCAGGCAAGCACAAAGTGGGGAAATAAAAAGACATTCTCCAAACCCAACAACCAGAAGAGAGCCGCAGCTTTAATTTGTTGCTTTCTTTTGGAGGGCAATAAAGTAGCAGCACTCAAAGCTCGGCCCACCTCCCCGCCCACCACAGCCACACCAACAACCAAACTTAATGAGCAGTCCAGTGAAACCAAACTTACCATGGTTTCTCTTCAGGCTTTTCTTCCTGTTTCCTTTTTATCCCCCTCTTTACTTTCCCTCTGGTCTGGGCTCCTGGTGAGTTCTGCTCAAAGTCGTGGAGTGTCAGGCAGATAAAAATGGGATTGAGTTGCTGCTAAGAAGCTGCATGAGGCCTTCACTGACCAAGTCAAAGTCAGGCAGCCACCTCTCTCTTTCTCTCCCCTCCCCGCTCCCTTGCTCTCTTGTCAGCTTTTCCAATAACAAACTGCTCCCCACCTCTTTTGGCCGAGTCCCTGAGCTGTGAGCGGTTTCCTGGATGCTTGGTGGACTCCCGTGACCCGGCTGTCTCCCTCTTTCTTTTTTTTTCCCCTTTCTTTTTTTTTTGCTGCTCTGCCGTGGAGAGTCTTGTTGCTCTAGCCCTCTCTCTCTGAGTTGCAGCCCTGCCTTCCTGCCAGATTTAGAACCAGAGACACATGAGGGCTTCTGGTTTGAAGTTTAAAGAGGCGGGACTTGCCTGAGAGTATTGTGTTGTCATGACGACCCCTCCTTCTCCAGCAGTCAGAGCCCTGCCCCTCCAGTGTTTTAAGAGCAAGTCTATGGGGGAGTGTTTGAGTGTTTTTTGTCCGTGTGTGTTGTGTGAGGCACGGTATATTACACTGAGTCATACAGCAAGACCTGTCTACTGGACCTTACAATGAGTGGATGGAATAATGGCTATGAAAGACTATTCAAAGAACAGTTTTCTTTTTAATTACACATTTGATCCATCAGTGTGAATTTACTTTTTCTTTGATGTCCCATGGGTGAGAGAGTGGGGGTATAGTATAGGAGGAGGTTTAGGTGTTTGTGGACAATGAGTATTTTTGAAAGGGTTTTTTGGGGTTTACATATTTTTTATTCTTTTGTAAAAAAGTTTTTTTTTATTATGTTTTTATTTATCATAATAAATGTTTTTGTATAAACTATTGTTGTATGTTTATAACCATGTTTTAGTAAAAGTGTTCAATTTAATATTGATGACTGTCCTTAATTAGTGTCTTGCAATCATTTTGAGGACTTGCATTATGAATACACTTCCATTTCATCTTTAGCCATTGCACTGCAAGATGCTGTGTAAGTTCATGTGATTGGACCTTCTGGATGATTACACTCGTCCTCCTAGCCTACATTTCCACTGACTCACTGCAGTCTGTAAAATGTATATCCCTTCTTATTACTTGATTGATTTCAACTTCCCAGTCAAGTCCAACCTTTAAGTCTCAAGTAAGTCAAGTCTCAAATTTGCATTTCTCTGATTTAAGTCTAACTGAAATCTCAGGTTAATAGCTTTGCACATTTTGGTGCTCCTATTTGCATCACACACCTGTGACGTGCAAATTTTACAGGTTTTCTATACTGTAGGCCATAATAAAAACACAGAGTATACTTTTAATGTGGTGCTGTGAAAAGTTTGACTCTCCATCTCGACCTATACATTCTGTATGCTGAAATTTTAACTCTTTCAGGCGTTATGAGCCACAAGGCTGAGAGTCATACTGGTATCAAGTGGAAGTGAAGCAAATAATGCTTCATTATTCTCACAAAATACAACTAGTAATTCAACAGCCCAGGATTATACATAATCCTGCCTTCATGGAGGTTACAGTGTTAAGTTTTTGTTGAAACTTTTAGAGAGGTGTTTATTCAACTTCATGGTCATTTTGGAGGTTGTGGTGCTGCATTCTACTGAGAGGTGTTTCTAATATTCCTAATAGTTGGTTGACTGTCATATATAGGCCTTCTTTTATTTATGTATGTACATTTTGCTGTCACTATGGATGCTTTAGGAACTTATTTTTGATGTAACAGCATGGCAGTAAATGAATTATGTCCAAGCTAGAGGGCACGCATGTGCAAGTACACGTGCATGACAGTCAGCATGTGTGCTCAGGAGAGAGTGAAAAAGAGGGAGCGATTTGGAGAATGCAAATTCCTCTCCTCCACTTTAATGTTCTGTGGCCTGACAGCGAGGGAGGAAAAAGCCTCACAAAGCTTCTCCTACAAAGCTCCACTTTCTTTTCTCTCCTCTCCCCTCTTGCCTCCTCTCTTCCTCCCTCCCTTCACAGCCACACTGATCCCATTCTCTCTGCCCGTTTGTTTGTGGTGAGACTGATTTTGTAGGTTAGGGGAATACTTTATGCTTTGATGTTACATCCAGCAGTTTCACAGAGCTGCACCTTTGATAAGGAAAAGCAAGGTGATTTATTATTAAAAGAGGTTAAAAATCCCTTTATATGCCCATAAAATAGGGTTAAGCTGCAGATATGTCCACGCCCCAAATTCACCAACACTTTTTAAGCCTGGTAATTTCAACAATTCTGATTCAGAGTTTTTAGTTTTTCCCTTTAACTCCTACATAAGCCACAAAGAAAATGCAACCACTCTCTCACTAGCAGTGCTGCCTGGAAGAACAAAGAATAATAGCAATCATTGTCTTACAGGCGAAGCCAGTCCTGAATCTTAAGTGGGCAGCCGGGACGAAGCCTGAAGACACCAGGGGAACCTCGCTGTTGTTCCCTGGGCTGTGGCTGGAGCTCCATTTGATGATGTATTAATCAATATATAAAAGGGAAAATCCCTAATAGGCTTCTGGTACGAAAGGAGGAACACAGCAAGGCTCCGTCTAATAATGAAGACCTAGTGTAGGCAAATACGCAGGGGAGGCGAGGCAGAAGATCCCATACACAGATTTTTAAACAAGAGTTTAAAAGAAGATGGAGGAGATAGTGGAGAGTTGGAGTTTATACGCGTGGCAGCTAAGCAGAGCTAATTCGGAGGCAGATAAAAAGATTCATTGTTTGAGTTAAATGTCAGTGGGTGGAGTTTTGATCAAAGTCAAAAGCCTGAAAACTGCTCTATTTCTTTCTTTTTTTTGCTTTCAGAAAGCTGTGTAATTATTTGAATATCTTTGAAGTAAAATAAAAACCTTTCAAACTAAAAATATGGTGACCAGGCAGTCATGTTAAACCAATTGGACTAACAGAAAACACACACCTGCTTGAAGATTTTAACCTCTATCAGGGGCATTGGCTGGACTCCAACAATGGAAAGTACTTCAGCTGTATAGCTTATAACTTATGCTCTGCTCTGTTTACATAGAACTCATACAGACATTGTTTTCATGGATCAGCATAAGAGGATATGTATGGCATTGCTTTTCCCAGTAAAAAATCTTTGAATTTTAAGTGTGGATTCACAAGTGCTTGGCATAGTAACCCAAGAAGATATAAAATGTGTCTTTAATGACAAACTGGATTAAGTAGATAATTATTTGTACCTATAGGAACTACAGCCCCAAGTACCCTGGCCAGGTAATGCCTAGTAAGTAAGATTTCAGGCGCTTTCCACTGATAATACTTGGTCAGACTCACTTTTTAGTGTTTTTACTTTACAACTGTGAAATGGAAGAAAAAAACCGATGGCTCTGGTGATGTCAATTTTTAGTCTGTCATCACCTATACCTCAACATGAAATCTGGCACAAACATCCATGGTACCAAGAGGATGAATCCTAGTGATTTTGGTGATTCCCTAAATCTACCTCTGGCGCCACCAGGAGGTCGATATTTTTGGTTCCGAGTGAAATGTCTCAACGACTGCTGACTGGATTACTATGGAATGTGGTGCAAATGGTCATGATCTTTAAAATGAATGTCATTTTCTCTCTCTCTCTCTCTCTCTTTCCTATCACTCTTCAGCTGATATTGATATTTTCCTCAATGTCTGAGTTTTTAAGCATGGTTCAATCTGCGGTCACTTCCAGAAACTCTGTCCTTCTTAGGATCCGCCTTTCTGATGTTTTATTGTTGCAATTAGATTATTTCTGCCTCTGAGAAATGTTTGTATAATAAATAAACCAATCCGTCTGTTTTTGCAGATTTTCTGTCTGTGTGTAAATCCATGTATGTCTGTATGGATGAGAGAACAACCCCTGTGTTGTCTCACTATGTCTGACTGTTTTTGTTATTGTTTATGTGTGAGCTTTTGATGGAAGGGGATGTTGGACATTACATGCCACTTTTGTTTGTCCATCATTCATCTGTCTGTCAGCTTCAGCTCTTCCATCTGTCTGCACGTCCATCCAGGTATGTCTCTGTACGACATTCCCATAGTGATACATAATGAATGTTGTTAGTTATTATTGTGTTCTTGTGTGAATCATACCTAAGGCAGACAAATCCCCAACCTGTCCCTCTCAGCCTGAGTGTCTGGATTGTTCCCAGCCTGCTTCACTCTGTGTATGAAAATAGCCAATTACGGACCCAGACTGGCCTGGCAACTGGGTTTTAAAGCTGGTCCAAATGCGGGCAACCTTGGTTGAATATGGATTGTGTCACAGATGTCATCATGAATAAATATGGCTATTTATTTCCAACTCAAATTCAAATTGCAGTCTCTCTTGTTTACTCTTTCTGTCTTCCTCCTCCAGGAGTCTGATTCTTCTTTCTGCCTTAAATTAGGTGTAAGCAGTTCTGACACTATTGTGATAAAACAAATCTACCAAAATTCATCAAAAAGGCTATCTTTCTCTCATTTTATCCTCAACATCTCATTGTGCTATCGAAAAGATCAGATGTTGCCAGATCACAGAGGGACACTTAAAAAAAACAACCAAGCGAGGCTGAAGAAGAGGTGATTATCATAATCAGATGCAAATGTTTTGTGGAAATTGACTAAACATCCTAAACATCTCTTGTGGGGCCTTTAGTTTTACTGTTCAATCTTATTTGAGCAGGATGCCAAAGAGGCTGTTTATTCCAAAAGTAAATCCATATTTCCATTTGGAATGAAAATCATTACCTCATATTCCTCGCTCCATATATTTCATGATTCTAAACAGATTATTTTTATAAATAAAGGAGGATCCAGGACCCGCAATAAAACACTCCCGCATTCATGTCCATAAAATGATTTCAGTGAGCCAACTCGTGATTATTTTGTGAATGCTGGGTTTTACTGATATAATATATAGTGGATAGGCCTTATCCGTGTCACTCTCCACAATAATACAACAAGCTCAGCACAGAAGAGAATAGGGAGAGTCAATAATAACTTAAGACTCATAGCCTTCAGGAAGCTAGGTGATTGTGGGGCTTATGAAATGCTATATAAACAGCAGCAGCAGCAGTGGTAACGGTGTTATAATAAATGCAAGAGGCATGTGGGTGAGTGGTTTCAGTTATTCAAGTGAGATGATCAATCCATTAGTCTGAAGGCTCATCAGACTTTAATGCTGTGTTACACAATATTTCTGTATATTACACAGAACTGACTGCATACTAATTTCTACCTAAGTCAATAGTTTAAGATGTTTTCTTAAATAGAAAGGTCCAACATGCTGCTGTTTTGTGTTTTTTAATTCACTATATCCCATCCTACAACATTC